CCCACCCAGACCCCTCAGCCTGCTCCTGCACCCTACCTCCCACCCAGACCCCTCAGCCTGCTCCTGCACCCTACCTCCCACCCAGACCCCTCAGCCTGCTCCTGCACCCTACCTCCCACCCAGACCCCTCAGCCTGCTCCTGCACCCTACCTCCCACCCAGACCCCTCAGCCTGCTCCTGCACCCTACCTCCCACCCAGACCCCTCAGCCTGCTCCTGCACCCTACCTCCCACCCAGACCCCTCAGCCTGCTCCTGCACCCTACCTCCCACCCAGACCCCTCAGCCTGCTCCTGCACCCTACCTCCCACCCAGACCCCTCAGCCTGCTCCTGCACCCTACCTCCCACCCAGACCCCTCAGCCTGCTCCTGCACCCTACCTCCCACCCAGACCCCTCAGCCTGCTCCTGCACCCTACCTCCCACCCAGACCCCTCAGCCTGCTCCTGCACCCTACCTCCCACCCAGACCCCTCAGCCTGCTCCTGCACCCTACCTCCCACCCAGACCCCTCAGCCTGCTCCTGCACCCTACCTCCCACCCAGACCCCTCAGCCTGCTCCTGCACCCTACCTCCCACCCAGACCCCTCAGCCTGCTCCTGCACCCTACCTCCCACCCAGACCCCTCAGCCTGCTCCTGCACCCTACCTCCCACCCAGACCCCTCAGCCTGCTCCTGCACCCTACCTCCCACCCAGACCCCTCAGCCTGCTCCTGCACCCTACCTCCCACCCAGACCCCTCAGCCTGCTCCTGCACCCTACCTCCCACCCAGACCCCTCAGCCTGCTCCTGCACCCTACCTCCCACCCAGACCCCTCAGCCTGCTCCTGCACCCTACCTCCCACCCAGACCCCTCAGCCTGCTGCTGCACCTCCACCCCTTCCTGCACTCATTTTGGCATCAAGGGTGTCTGGTGGGTGGTTTGCAGGAAGGTTTGTGCTGAGTGAGGTGGGCCGCAGGCCAAAACGTTTGAGACTTACTGACTTAAGAATGGCCATACTTGGTCAGATCAGTGGTCCAGCTAGTGGTCTGACAGTGGCTAGGTCCAGATGCTTCAGAGGGAATGAACATACAGGGCATTGAGTGATCCATCCTCTGTCATCCAGCTTCTGGCAGTCCGAGGGTTAGAGACACCCAGAGCACAGGTTGCCCGCAACCATACTGGCTAATAGCCACTGCTCTATCCTCCATGAACATATCTAATTCTTTTTGATCCCACTTATCCTTTTGGACTGCAGCATCCCTTGGCAATGCGTTCTGTGGGTTGTCTGTTGTGTGAAGAAGTACTTAGGTTTGTTTTTAAACTAGGGATGTTAAATATCAGTTAATTGAATAGTCAATTAACCAATAAGAATTCATGAGGTTACTCGACTATTCTATAGTACCCGGGGGTGGGTTGGCAGCCAGTGCACTCCGACCCCACTCCTGAGGAGCTCCCTGCCACTCCATGCTGCTGCGTCTGTACCAGAGGCAGAAAGGTTGGGTGAAGTCAATTAGTTACCACCTTGAGGGGAGACAGTTTAAAAACCAGCTCCCCTCGTGAACCAGCTGCCTGTCGCCCTGCGCTGCTGCCTCTGATACAGAGACAGCTGCGCAGGGTGGCAGCAGCCCCTGTCATGGGGAGGGGGAGCTCCCAGGCCTGGTGCGAGCCAGAACTGAGCTAGGCTGCTCGCCTGGCTCCTAATACACTTTAAATGCAGAGCTGCGCAGGGGTAGGTCCCAGAGCCAGGCTGTTGGCCAGCCTACTAAAAAATGTACTGGCAAGGGTTAGGGGAACTGGAACCTATAAGCTTTTGCTTATTGGTTAATTGACTACACCATATTATGTCCCTATTTTAAACCTGTTGTCTATGAATTGCATTCGGTGATCCCCAGTTCTTGTGGATTGTGAAGGGGTAAATGACACTTTTTTCCATCATTCATAACTGTATAGACCTCTCATATCTCCCCCAGACATCTCTTTTCCAAACTGAACAGACCCAATGTTTTCAACCTCTCCTCTTGTGGAAACTGTTTCATACCCTGATGAATTTTGTTGCCCTTCTCTGTACTCTTTCCAGTTCTAATATCTTTTTGGAGATGGGGCCAGCAAAGCTGCATGCTGTGTTCAAGGTGTGGGAGTGCCATAGATTTGTATAGAGGCAGTTGCTATCTTATTTCTCCTTTTCCTAATGGTTCCTGACACGTAGATTGTTTTGATTGCTGCTGCCCATTGAGCAGACATTTTTCGGAGACCTATCCAGGGTGACTCCAAGATCTCTTGCTTAAGAGGAAACAGCTAATGTGGACCCTGCCATTTTGTATGTAATTGGGAATTCATGGTTTTCAGTGTACAGTACTTTGTATGGATCAGCTTCGAATTTCCTCTGTTTGCTGCCTCCTCACCAAGATTGTGAGATCCCTGGTAACTCTTCGCAGGCAGCAAGAGGTTTGTGTTGTGCCAAAATGCATCGTTGTGGATTTCAGGACAGAGCTCTGGGAAGAGGGGGGGGTGGTTTTAACCCTGTGTACAGAGTATGGGAGATCAGTCAGCAGCCGTGTTTGCCAGTTGGTGCTGAATTGCTCCATCTTGGCCTGAAGTCCATAGTGCAACAAATGTCTGGGGTAACTCTTCGCAGGCAGCAAGAGGTTTGTGTTGTGCCAAAATGCATCGTTGTGGATTTCAGGACAGAGCTCTGGGAAGAGGGGGGGGTGGTTTTAACCCTGTGTACAGAGTATGGGAGATCAGTCAGCAGCCGTGTTTGCCAGTTGGTGCTGAATTGCTCCATCTTGGCCTGAAGTCCATAGTGCAACAAATGTCTGGGAAATCCCTCTGGGGGGGGGGGGGGCAGAGGCAGGGCAGAGCCCTGGGGGTGGGAAGTAGAGTAAGCGAGGGGGCCCTGAGGCCAAGGCTGCGCTCTTGCTGGGCGAGGGGCCGGGCCGGGATTGCCTCCCCTGTCCCCCCCCCCGTGATGCTGCCTCTGATAGAAGCAGCAGTGGGACTTGGGGGAGAGGAGGCAGGCGGCACTGGACCGCCTTTTAAGCTGGCTGTCCCCAGCACTGGCTCCTGCCTCCCCCTTACTGCCTCTGATACTGAGGCAGCAAAGGAGGGGGACATGCAGGTAGTTGAGAAGATTAACGGATACGCCCAGGCTTCTTGGAGAATGGTATGAATGCTGGTAACATCCCTAGTTAGTCCCAAGCCCTCTTGTCTCTTGTTCTGTTCCTGTACCCTAGAAATCACACCACTGTCCTCCTTTTTGGGTCAGAGGCTTAGAGTCGTTCACATCGTTATTGAGGCTTGCAAAGAACAGAGAAACAACGTAAACCAGTGGTCCTATAGCCCTTGGAGACTAACACCAAGATATAGATAGAACAGGGGACAACAGACTGTAGATTGAGGTTACCCCTCTGTGTTACTAGCGTAGGGTTCTTCTGGGCCTTCCATTAGTTACTATTTTAATTTATTGGTTTACAGCAGAAAAAGTGTTGAACACTCCCAAGCGGGAAGTTCAATGTCAGCACTCGTTTGATTCTGTGCTACTAGTCTGACTGTGAAAGCTAGTGGAAAGTCTTGCTATTTGTCTGGCTCCTGACTGTCAGTGGTGTCTGTATACGTTGCAGATGCCCCGTCTTTGCCCAAATGTAGGTCTCCACCAGTCATTTATGTAGACAGCACCTAACTGAGACCAAATCCATTCACTTGCAACTGCCCGTGTCTTCGGTGAGAGGTCCGGCCAGTGGAGAATCCAGGCCCAGTGTTTAGTTCTTATTCTTGATCTGAGTACAGTGGGGCCTGTTGTTTCTGTGGCCTCGCTTTGTAGATAAGCCTTTGGAGTGCTACAAGGCAGCCTGCAACTCCCATGTGTGGCGCTGCTTTTGTTACCTGCTGTATATTCACTGGCACGAGCGTCTGTTGCTTTGGGCTGTGACTAGAGCAGCGGTGGGCAATACATTTTGACCGGGGGCCACTTCAGAAATGTTTGAAGTGGCAGGGCCGCCGCGGGCTGGATCAACCACTTGGCGGGCCGGATCTGGCCCAGGGAGGCCCTTTTGCCCACCCCTGGACTGGAGCCTTCGGGTTTGAAGTCCGATCAATGGTTAAAATAGCTACTTTGAGGGCTTAACCCCCTAGCTCTGGGGTTTCTATCCGGAGGCATTCAATGGTGTGAATCTTGCTGGCAAGCTTAGCCAGGGTTGTGAGACTGTGCAGCTTTGTGGCCTTTGCCTTAGGTCAGGCATGTCCAAAGTCCGGCCCGCGGGCCAATTGCGGCCCGTGTTCCGGTTTAATACGGCCCCCCAGGTAATTTGGCAATATCTATCTTTTATGGCCCCCAACGAATCCATATGTATTGAGATGAATACATTGTAAAATCTCAGTTAATGTCAGTTGGTCTAAATCAGTTATAAATATATTTGGACACAACATGTATACTTGGTGTTATGTTCCTGTTCATATTTTTTGAACTTAGAAGTTGACAGACAACCTTTATTACCAATAATATGTAATGTACTTTACAATGTTCCTGACATATATTTCAGATTCCCGGATTTTTTTTTCATCTGGCCTTCAGATATGAAAGGCAGAGTGATTTAACACCTGTTTAGATTTGTCATCCATGTGACGAAATGAAAAGTATGCCGTTTGCAATAAACTTTGCATAAAATAGTTAATTTGCATTTAATTTTAATGGTTCAAAGAATGTCAGGCAAAATGGTCGGCCCTCACGCATGTTCACTTCATCAAATCTGGCCCTCTTTGAAAAAAGTTTGGGCACCCCTGCCTTAGGTACAGTTGAGACTGTTAAAAGCCCAGAAGCCTGCTGTCCCCGCTGTGCTGAAGCCCACGTGCTCAAGCATGGGCCAGGCGATGGTCCTGAGGAGCACAGGCAGCTGCAGGGCCAGTGGGTATCTTTTCCAGAGGGATGTTGCTCAGGAGGTCTGGGATCTGGAGTGGGGGGGGACACGGGAGGGAGGCGCGAATGCTGGAAGGTGTCTTACAACCTGCTTCCCGTTCTTTCCCAGTGACGCCGTCTGCAGGTTTATCACCTGCAACGACTCCTCGTTCCACGGGCAAACCGTCATCTTCAACCCTGACTTCTTTGTGGAGAAGCTGCGGCATGAGAAGCCTGAAGTCTTCACAGAGCTGGTGGTCAGCAACATCACCAGGCTCATCGACCTGCCGGGAGCAGAGCTGGCCCAGCTGATGGGGGAGGAGGACCCCAAGCTGCCGGGTGGCACCGGCTTCTTTCGGTCCCTAATGTCTCTGAAGCGGAAAGGTAGGCCCAATGCTCTGTCGGCCCGTCTCCATAGTGTGGTGTGGGTCCAGACTCCTGTAGCACCACATACCACCCCCTCGCAGGCTCCCGGGGGCCAGGCACATTCCCTGTGCTCTCTGCTGCATCCACCCCTTGTGTCTCCTTGTCTGTTGAGATTGTAAGCTCTGCAGAGCAGCCCTGTCTCTGCAGGCGTATTCCTCCCCTGACACTCAGGCTGCAATCCCAGACTACGCCCTTCCCCGTAAGGAAAGCGCCAAGCCCAGAAGGTCTGATTTAGGGACGTGAAGGACTATTCGACTATCTGACAGGCAAATGCTTATCGGATAGTCAATAGGCTAGTCAACTAGTTGCTCCCCCCTTTGCTGCCTCTATCAGAAAGAGGAGAGGGTACGTCAAAGCATCAGCGATGCATGGAGACTGGGGCCAGACCCGGGCTCCATGCGGCACTTTTGCCTTTGGGCTGTTGCTACACTTCAAAGGCAGAGGCGCCCTATCGACTAGTCGATGCAAAATGCACCGACTATTTGGTTAGTCTATTACTCGATAGTTAACATCCCTAGTCTAAGTAGCAGTAGGTGAATGCAAGGTAATCCCTCTTGTTCCTCCTTGCGCTGTGGAGTCTGACCGTAGGAGTAGCTGTAGGGAGATGGCTGCATCTGTTCTCATGCCTCCCAAAGCGTTCGTCTTTCTTGGAGGAGTTGTCTTATTTAGTAATCAGTTTCCTGTGCCCATTCCTCAAACTCATGAGGAGGCAGCCCCAGTGTGCCAGAGTCAGTACAGACACCTATGGAGCTGCTCCCTACCCTGGAGAGCTGGCAGTCTGAGAACAAGGTCAGTCCTTAACTGGTTGGGTTCTATCAGACTTGGGCAATCAAACTGCAGCCCAGGTGGGACAGGTTTGGACTCTGGGACGCCCTTGGGACTGTCACTCGATGTTCTGAAATCGCATGGAGTGAGTGCCCCTCACTCTGTCCTCCTGGCCCAGACCCTCTGGCCCCCTCCAGGGTCCCAGCCCTCTGCAGTGTATTGCAGACAGAGATCAGGTCGGCTCTTGGAAGGCTCAGCTACAGGGACTTGCCTCGGTACCAGTGTTCCCTGTGAGCTGAGCAGTTGGGCAGCCACCCAGGAGAGATTTAAATGCTGCCCAGCTGATTAGCGGAGCATGTACAACAGGCAGCATGTGTTCCTACTGGTAGTGCACATCTGCACATGCCTCAGTGCAGATCTTAAAATGTGTTCCACACACACATGGAAAACTTAGAGGGAACAATGCAGAGCCTCAATGGGACCTGAACCCCAGAAAAGTATATGCAGGGAAAGCTGTTTGCCCTCCGTCTCAGGGTAGAGAGAGATGCACAGCTGCTCTGCCCCTCCAGAACAGTTCTGTACAGTGGACCTAGTAACAAACAAAAGTGATTCTATGAAGTATAAAAGGGGGGTTTAAGCGATCGTTAGAGCTGGCTGATGGACCAAAGACAGCTCCTAAACAAACAGCACGCAAGCCAAGCTTAATGCACTAGAGACACCAGCTACATGTAATGGCTCACCCTCAGTGGTGTTCTAATAAGCTTCTTTCACAGACTGGAAAGCCTTCCAGTCTGGGCCCAATCCTTCCCCCGCTTTCAGTCTAAGCTATTTCCAGCAATTTTCGTGGGTGGGGCAGCCAGGGAGAACTGACAATTACCTCGCTCCTCCCCCTTGCATAGGATTTACACAAGGCGGGAGTTCCCCTCCCAGGTACTCATGGAAAAGTTCATGGTTTAAGATGGATTCTAGTGTCGGGTGGCGTGGTCCGTCTCTGTGAGGCCCGTGTCTCCATACTTCCTGGGCTGACCCATGTGCCCACAGGAGGCCAAGCTGCATTGTCTCTGAGAATGGGCCATTCTAGCCTGAAATACCACGAGCGGCCCTCCTTCAGCAAGACTTCATTAAAAACCCAGCTTCTCCAGAGTCCTACCTGGCTCTGCAAAGATGCAACATGCCTACCAATGGGCAACCCACAGTCAGTAGATGCTCACTTTGCCAGCGAGATCAACTATAAAGTATTTTGGATGAAGTCTATTCCATTTGCCCTAGTCATGAGCATGTTTTCCTAGAGCGCCCGGAGTGCCCCATCACACCAGGCATCTTGTGTTTGCCACTCGGGTTCTGAGCTTCTGCTCCATTCAGGACTTCCAGAATTGTCCTTGGTGTGCCCCATCACACCAGGCATCTTGTGTCTGCCACTCGGGTTCTGAGCTTCTGTTCCATTCAGGACTCCCAGAATTGTCCTTGGCTTCGTTTCCCAGGCCGAGCAGGCTTCCACGTTAGCACTGGGGCATTACTAAAGCCTGAGCACAAAAGGCCAGAGGACCAGCTTTGTGGAGAAACAGTAATGCCCAAGCTCACTAGGCCTTTCTACCCTGGCAACACACTCTGGCGGGAGGGACCTGTCTCTGCCCGTGGTTCCTGGAATTGGGCACCTAAGCCAGACCAGCCCTTGCTGGCAGAACACCGCCACCCAGAGTGAAAGAGACTTCAGCCCTTTGTAACCTGCCGGGGACTTGGAGCCTGCTCGCTCATGTCCCGGGAGAGTGCCCTCCCAGCTGGCTATTGAGCATTCTGGGCTGGGGTTGTCCTGGAGCTGTTCCGTTTGGTAGAAGTAATTAAATAGTCAGTGGGAGAGAGAGATTCACTCCAGAGCCCAGGGTCAGGCAAATAGCACACGAGGCAATAGTGTAATCAGGTACTTGAAAAGGAGAAACTTCTTGAGGAAGAGGCAATGATCCGTTTTTCCTCAGCAGCGTTATTTTTAGACAGCTTCCTTTTAAACACTTTGCAGAATACTTCAATTCCACGCTATTGCCGCGTGTGCTATTATTTGCCCACACACCTGTATTTTTCAGAGTTGGGTCGTACAAAAGCCTTTCTCCCTTTACTTACTTGGCTTGCTGTAGCCATGGGTGTGCACACCAAGTTCTAGAATGACTGATCAATCCGGTTTTCTGCATCCTTTATAAGCAGCACAGCGTAGCACCTTGCTCCCTTCGCCCTCATTCTCTACCGCAAATGTTATGCTTATAAGAAGCACACTGTTGAAGGGGATGAGGCAAAAGCTGCATTTATTAAGAATTAGCAGGTGGGCCCGTCGTTGACTAGGCTGTCATTTTGCATAGATTGCACTTGTAGGAAAGTTCAGGAAATTAAACGTGTCATAGAATGTGTTGTTAATGTGCTTGTAAAAGGGAAGTAAAAGAACAGTTTGGAATTTGTAGGATTTCAACTTCAAACAGGAATCCTGTTATTGAATACTTATCCCACACAGTAAATTTGAATCAGAAACCCATCAAGCTTCCATTACTGTTCCATTATTTTGTGATTTGTAACAGTAAAATGTTCTTTGCACTAAAATGACAGTTGAATGGGCGACTTGATTTTAATTTTGTTTGCAAATACTTTTTATGAGCTCTAATCGTAGTGTCATGGCTTTCTTTCCGATGGAAAAACCAAAATAATGATTTAAACCAGTATTTCTCAAAGTGGTCACGGACCCATTCAGAGCTGCTACTGGGCCACTCCGGTTTGTTCACTTATCAGCTCTGCAGCCATGGAGTCTCGCGGCTCCCATTGGCTGTGGTTTGCCATTTGAGAGACACTGGCTTACACCTTTCGCCCAGCATATTGCAGTATGCACAGTAGTGCATTTCGCTAATTTAAGTGACAAGATTGTTTATGCAAATGTTGGGATCTGTAGGTAATTGCGAAGTATGACTTTATTTTGCACAAAAAAATCCACAAACTCTTTAAAATATGTAATAGATACAGTTCAGGCATTAAAATCAGCATATGCTTCCAGAGAGACACACCCAAGTGTTGTGCAGCTGGGTTTTACAGTTACAAGTCCTTAGCATTGCTTGGAGGGTTTCGGTGGGCAGCCGAGACGCACAAGGGAGGAGGAGCTGGGGTCCCTCTCATGCATTTGAAGCTCTGATGTTTTTGAAAAATGAATCCAAAGTCCCATGGCAATAGACTCTTATTTTTATAGCAATAAGTTTCCATGCAGGTCTGAGCCCTGCTGTCATAGAATACTAGACCTGGGAGGGGCCTCGAGAGGCCATTGGGTCCAGTCCCCTGCTCCCATGGCAGGACCAGTTAAGGATGCTTCAAATGGGTTGTTGGCCATAGTGTGTTTTATTTTTGTGTGTGTAGGGGGAGGGGTGCTTCATTCTTTATTTCATCCTTGGGCGTATAGGCTTCTGCTTGAGCATTCTCAAGCTGCTTTTTTTTTTTTTTTTTCTGATCAGATTTTTCTGGTACCTTCTATTTCTTATTTGTTAGCATAGCATTTCTTTACTCCTACAAAGTAGTAACAAAGAACAGTAAATATAAAAAACAAGCTTTCTTGCAGAGTAGGAAGAAAGCAAAGCAAGTGAGCGCTAATAAAACAGTTCTTTTACTGCTGCTAACAATAAATAGACCCAAAAGCGACGTACTCTTCCTAATTCTTAAAGGAACACTAACAAAACTGAATGCAAATATTATCCTTCAAAATAATGTACGTGAAAATTATTTTTCAAAGTTTGGCCTTTGGGCCACCACAGCCCCTGACTGCTCCGGGATGTGGGTAAGTCAAGGCAGAGTGTGGCTTACAAATCTGGATCTCCTGCGTCTGCAGTGTAAGGGGGGATATACCCGCCTGCGCCCCCATGCTCTTGTCCCTACTGTCTTCTGGGTGGGTTGGTCATGCTCAGAGCATGCAAGGTAAGTGGATCAGGCCCACGGGTGGGGGAATAATCCCATCATACTTTAGACCGGAGCCAGGGCTCTGGACAGCTCAGCTGGGTCAGAACTTAGGCACGATGGAAGCCTAGGCACGATGGAGACGTTCGAGGCAGACACAAACGCCTGCGAAACTGAGAGGCCTACAGGTCAAGCGGCAGCTGAGCTGGGCTTTGGTGAATGCCAGTACTGCTGAGATATTGGACTTAGGTGCTAAGTGCCAGGTAGGCGCCCAAGTCCCT